ACTGCATCATTCATAAATTGTATTTATTTATTGTGTTTATTGTCTTAACGTTTCACCAGTTTATTCTGCTTTTTATTCAGCTTAGCTGCAGATATAAAGCCTGGCACGTCTTAAGTTCTATGAGCGCGAGATCACTTCTCTTTCAGTGCGAACACTTATTTATTTCATTTTCATAAAATAAAATGCTATAGTATTTAACTTTTCCTCTCCATCGGCGAATGATGATTCTGAAAGAAAACGCGCGATGTCTGTTTGCTAAAGCAAAAAACGCTACTTTTATGCATCTGAATCTCAGATAAACCTCGTGCTCTTATTTCAAGGTTGTTGTTAATGCTGTGGTTATTTTAACAGTTTCCTTCGTACATTCGGTTGAACGACATTGTTAAAACATTTATCATTCAATGGAACTGTGCGTATACTTTAGACAAGTAGTAAAACTACTTCACTTTAGCATTACTGGCCACGAGTACTAAGGAGAGCTCACACATCAACTGCTCAATGTGTCAGTGAGACGAACGGAGTCACAGACAATAAATAGGGGAGCGCGTGAAGGAGAGATGCGAGGGCACGAACACTGTTCAAGGTCTCCATTAATTCGTGCTTGTAGTAATTTAATGTGTATATATTTTGAAATCATTGAATCGCTATAGAAATCGTGATTCATTTGATTCTTAGCGTTTTAAATCGATTACTGTCCGAAATCGACGATTCACAATTCAAAATCCATGTTTCAAGATCGATGCATATGCATCTTCAGGGTTTGTAATCGATGCATCGAGAAAACGAGTGAATCGTTACACCCCTAGTTCTTACCATTAGAACAGACTTAAGACTATGATAATTAAGTTGATGAAATTCCAATAAACTTGCCTTTCTCACAATGGGACTTCCATCATTAATGAGTTGTGCTAGCATCATGGCCACATTATGATCAATGGTGGTAGAATGATCGGTTCTCTCAGCAGAATTCCCCACAAATGTACCCAACGCAAACACAGCTGCACACCGCACCTGCGAATGAGAACAACACAAAGCATAAATGAACAGCCTTGGTCAGGGTTATTGAAGGAAAGTAGCACTCTTTTTTGAGCATATATTAAAATAATTTATTTTGAGGTACATATCCTGGTCAGGAATAGACTTGGGAGTACACAGAAAAACAGAGAAAACAAGAAATTTATGTAAGGTTTGTAATGCATTATAGCAGGTTAATGTTCATGGATTAAGTTCTGAATTTGCAAGGCACTGTAAACATAAACCATATAAATACTTGAAAATCTAAAATAAGCAACATCTACAAGAATTAAACTGGCCAACGTTCAGAACCTCTGGTATAGGATCAGACAGGAGACTGTAGAGCTTCTCATGGGCACTATCTCGAACTCCACACCAGCGTGCAGAATCAAAATTCTGCCAGATTCGGCCCAAACAGATTGCCACCCACTGCCTCAGAAGAGGATGAGGGTCAATGAGCTGCTCCAGACAGATTGCAATCAGGTTACCCTGCAGACATGCCTCCTGATGAAAAGAAAGGACAAATTTTTTTTTTTGAAGATTATTCTATAAATTCTAACCTTGTAAAACAATAATATGTTCAAAACATCCTATAATATTCATATTTACTTTTCAAATTTGTCTGTAAACCCTATGGTAAGTTAACTTAAGGTAAGCTCACACTATACAACTTTTGGCTGGATTTTGCTGTCGCAGACAGATTTTCAAGGTCTGTGACAAAATCTGCAGATTGCGGCCAAATCGATGCTTGTTGTGTTTGCTGATGCTCGTTAGGTATGAGCAGGTCAGCAACATGATCTGAGCCTGTCCCGAGCAGTCACAGATGCTGCAACATTTTCAAACTTGTTTCAAATTATTGCCATGTGATCTTGTAGTGTATGCGATACAAAGACAAGGTGGAACTAATCTAGCCAATCACAGTGCGGATGATATAAATGGAAGAATCTTATAATAAATTTCTTGCTAAATTTATGTGAGAAAGCATTTTCTTTTTTACTGTTGGTCAGGACTGCCTCTCGACCAAATGTTTGTCATTTGTATACCTCCTCAATGTTGTGTTATGATACAAGACGATGAGAGATGACAAGAAACCTTGTGGAGTGTGAGCACCACAGCAATTCAGGTAGTCTTACAGTCCTGAAGTGAGAGCTTGCCCTTAGTTTTAATCTTTAGGAATGTATGTGTTGATCCATTGCTAGTCAGTCAGTCAGACAGACAGATAATATGTGCTGATTCTTTGCCACACTAATCATCTTGACCTCCATCTGCTTTTATTTCTGTTTCATCTCTATACCTGTCCTGTGTTGTAGTTGTTGACAATGACAGCAAGGATGAAGACTGCCATGGTTCGATGCTCAGCCTGGATAAAGAATCAGGAGTCAACAACTATATCCATAGTTCATGGATATACACTTCATTTAATTAACAGTGTTAATCTTATTTTCACTGTCCATCCATGATTTAATTGGTCAAAAGTACACAAAATTCCAACTGAAAAACAAAGAATAGTCTGAACTCTGCAAATATGGCACAGCAGATTAAGTAAACAAAACAGATTTTGTTTTGAACAAAGTGGAAAATGATTCAGTGCCATCTGTAAGATACTCACGGGCATGTACGAGTCAGCCAGTACTGACAGGAAGTACTTGTGTCCATTGTCTTTTACAAGATCAGCTTGGCATGACTACAGAAAAGAGAAAGAGAAAAAGCAGGAGGGAGAGTAGGCGAGTGTAAAAGAAGGAATTGAAGGAGTGACAACAATGTTACAAAACACCATCCTAACTGCTGACAACAGTTTCTCCCAATCTTGCTGTCTGATATAAACATCTGAGTTTTCTTGGAGTCAGAGTTGTAAAACACTTACATACTCCCCTAATGAAAATTGAACTCCAGCAAGTGAGACATCGCTGATACCAATAACACAATAACAGAGCCTGGAATGACCAGAGAGAGATGGAGAAAACCTATTTGTCCCATCTCAAACAGAATGTGTGTTGGAGGATAGTGTGGGCAAGACGGAAAGGGCAAGTTGTACTATTGCCTGCTTGTGCTCTCCATTTCATCTGGTGATTTTTTAAGTGCCATGTGCTATTGTGAACACACCAATGACACACACTGACCAGAATGCAGAATCCTGAAAAAATTTATCATGTTTTGAGACAAAATTTTAAGCAGCACAACAATTTTCAACTGTGATACTAGGAAACACCACTTGAACACCAAATTGGTACATTGATTTCTGAAGCATCATGTGATAATGAAGACTAGAGGAATATCTATCAATTAAAGCATGCCAATTAAAGGGATAATGGTCCCACTTTATATTAAGTGGCCCTAATACCTGTGTACTTACATAGTAACTGTGTACATAGTATGTAACCACAGTGTAAGTACATATTGGTACATAGTATCTACAGCTGTAATGTTTGTGTAACTACACATATGTAACAACCCACTGAATGGTATGTGTAAATACAAATATGTAACAGGACATTGGTAACAACACTTTTTGGTAATGAAAGTACAAATGTGAAACAGGACTAACAGCACTTTTTGATAAAGAAAGTGTTACACTTTATATTAAGTAAACAATTTCTATGGATTTACCATGTAATTACACTGATGTTACACAGCAGCGGCCAGTAAGTTAGGTTTTACATATAAATTGTGGTTGGTGTCCAGAATGTTACACTTTATATTAAGTGGACAGTTCCTGAGGAGTTACCATGTAAGTACACTGGTATTACAGTGGTGCACCAACTCCACCAACTTGAGATCCAACTCCTCCCACTTTTAGTCCAGGTGATATGTGCAAAACTTGAGGTGATATGTTCACTTTTTCATAAAAGCATGAAATTTGGTACACTTGTACAGTTTGGGCCCTGAACATTTTTAGAAACGGAGCCATCGCAAAAACACCTCGTGGTTGCCATGGCAGCCATTTTACTTTCCGCCATTACCAAATTATGTATTTTGTGTCATATCTTCTGAATCAAACATGATAAGACAGAGAAGATGATGTCAACCCATATATTTTGATGGTCAAGGATTACAATGATATCATATGCTATCCTATTACTTGTTTCACTTCTGTTTCAGTTTTTATAACCATTTTTTACCATGTGTAAGTTGTTGTTTTTTAGCATGTAAGTTTGGCAGTGTTATTTTTTAGGATTACTGATAAACTACTGTCGTTTGATTTGTATTATTTGTATTTGTTATTTATTTTAATTTGAGTTAAATTATGTCTGAATTTATTATGTCTGTATAGGTCTTTTATTAAGTTTTAGTTTTATTTAATTTGAGTTATTTTAATATTTCAACAAACTAAATGGAAATGAAATAATATATATATTGAATTTATAAATGTGTATGTA